ATGTCTCGGGCTTATCTTTAATCTTTGTTTATGGTGTATTTCATTAAAAAAGAAGTTTTAGGGGGAAGGGTATAGCTCAAGTGGTAGAGCGCATGCTCAGCCCCCAAGAGGTCCCGGGTTCAATCCCCAGTACCTCCTCCAAGCGGAAATCAATGAAGAAACCTAATTACCTCCCCCTCAGAAAAAAGAAATTTCAGATTCAGTGTTAATGTAGTCAGATTGGTCACTATGTTATTCTTCTTTTTCATTTATTGTCTAAGAAATCTAGCTCCTAAGTCAAAGATGCTTTTCCCACATTTCCTTCTAGAAGTATTATTGTTACCGAGTCCAAACTCATTCTGCTCTCCACATGACAGGCCAGTAAATTGGGAGACGAGGTGTTGGGGCAAGGAATAGTGACTTTATATGGAAAGCCAGCAGACCGAGAAAATGGCAGACTAATGTCCTGGAGAACCATCATCCCCAATTCAGAATTCAGGCTCCTTTTATACAAAAAAAGGGAGAGGGTGTGGTTGGCTGTTGCAAACTTCTTGCTGTAGGAATTCTTTGTTCTTGCAGCTGTCCATGTGAGTCAGGTCATGGTGCCCCTGTCAAACCTCCAACAAAACAAATGTTATTTTCTATTCTGCAATTTTTTATCTTTTTATAACTGCAAAAGTGCTAACATCCTTAAAGGTCAGAGCCCTGAGAACAGGCTCTCCTGACTATTTCAGGCTAAAGGCAACATTGTTTTACAAAAGGTGCAGAGCTGGCAAGACTGAGCCTAGAAAACAGGGCACAGGGTTAAAGCGAAGGAACAGATCTGATATAGAGTCAGATTTGTTCTTTTCTGTTACATTACGTTTCTGCTTTCAACTTTTTCATGCACTTGGCGTTGATTTTGTGGTGTGTGATGTGTGTTTCTTCTCTGTATGGGTAACCAATTCCCCATCGTTCTGCTTTCTCCTATCGCCTTTTCACTTAGTACAGTTTTTAGCTTTGTTCTCTGTTCCCGTGGTCTGTTTCCTGTTCCTGCACCAGCGCCTGCACCAGTGCTGTAACTACAGGCAGTCTTGGTATCCAGTGAGGGAAATCTCCCACTTGGTTCTTTTTTAAAACTACCACTTTTTATCCTTTGTCTTTAATCTTCCATATAAGCTAATTTTATATTTAGCTATTTTAACCTTAGCTTATTAAATGTCTTGAAGCAATGAGTAGATTAGACCCATAATTCAACATCTGAGCGACTTCGTCTTTGCTCTGACCTCTGTTACTGTGCTGAGCGCCAGAGAAACGCCAGGCACATGCTAAGCGCTTTATACGCATTGCCTCACTGAAACCTAACCCCAACCCTAGGCGGCAGGTACTGATTATTATTCTCTTGTTCTAGTTAAGGAACTGAGGATATTAAAAAAAATTGGTCAAGATCCCATGGTTATTATGGGGCATAGCCAGAGCACATCCACTTAAACCCACTCTAATCATACTCCAGGGATTACCTGGACATTCGAAAACTTAAAAAAAAATTTGCACTTACTGATGAAGCACACATTTAAAGTAATTATCCTCTTTATCTTACCTAAGAAGAAACTAATGCACAGGCAAGGTGCACGATTTGCCTAAAATGTCCGTTGCAGAACAGAGCTTCAGTCCCTTGACCTTCCCTGTCTGAAACCCCTTCCTCCACTTCTACCCCCATCCCTGCCCACGATCCCTTGCCTCTGTGCCCTTCCAGGTCAGACAACTGAAAGGCACAACCAGGAGGCCACGGTGAAGTCCTGGTCTCCACTGGATGCTCCCGGGCCCTCAGTGGGCCATGGTGCTGAGCAGGTGGAATCCAATTCCAAAGATAAAATAGCTTCTTCAGACTGTGGTCTTGGGGATGCTTAGCAACACTTCCATGTCATTTTGAAAAACGAGTGGTGATACAGGAGTGGAGATGGACAAGCAGAGACCTCTCCTACCTCCGGCAGTGCTTGCCAAATGACAGAGCAGGCGCACGCTCTAGGAGATGTATGAAGGAAGCTGTGCATGCTGGCAGCACTGAGATCAAGTCTGCAGGGGCTGATTATATGGAAAGTAGTTAAATAAGAAAACACTGGTTGGGAGCTGTCAAGGGGGCCAAAGAGAAAAGCATGTTATAAAAAGGTACTCATCATCCCAGGCTGGTGTTTGGAGGACAGACCCCATCAGCAGCAGCTTTTGATATAAATCTTGACCTGACCACCAACCTGCTCCGTGACTGAGCAAGTCACTCCGGACAGCCCGATGCCTCTGCTCCCTTATCTGCGGGAGGAGGCCGACGGGGGTTGTACTAAGGAAAGGGAATCAGTGTGACCTGGAAGAAAGAGCACAAGCCTATTAGAGGGCTCTCGCCCTGCCAGGGGTCTGAGGACCCCTAATCTGCCTGAAGGCTGGAAGGAAGGGGGTGAGGGTGGCAGAGGAGTCACAAAATAAACTAAGCGTACTCTGGACTCCTCCAAGGACAGTTTGTATGCCCAAGCTCCATCTCCTCCCACTTTTTTTCTTTCACTGTCTTGTGTTGCAAAAAAGCTTTGGCAAGTCACGTGATTCCCCTCTGCTAGCCCCTAAGGTAGGATTATCGTACTGCTGGTCCTTAAATGGGGCAGCAGGTGTGAAGGCTAACACGAGATACTATTAAGTCAGCACCTCCGGTGACTAGAGGAAGGTGATGACTGGAGGTGGGATCAGATGGGGGCTCTCCACTGGCCTTGTGTCCTCCTCCCCAGCTGCAGAGGCTGGAGAAAGACTGCAGGCCAGCCCCACGCCTCAGAGGAACTGCAGCGCTGGCTGGAGGCGTCTGGAAGGGGTCTGGCCCAGGCCTGCCCTCTGGAAAGAGCCTGTTTCCTACTGGTTTGCCTTAGCCCCTCTGCAACCCTTCTCCAAGCAGTGTGGCTCCGGCTGCCCTGCCCTCCCTCTAGCAGGAGGGCATTAAAAGGAAGATGGGAAAAAGAAAGGTCTTCCTTTCTTTAATTTTGGCTTTGACTTCTGACGTTATCTCTGGTCATAAGATTTGCAGTCTTACCCATCGTAACTGTAGCCACTGTTTATGGTTTCCTGAGTACCTGCTCAGGTCTTAGTTATTCTTCAAATGAAGATTTAAACCGTTTTTACGTGCACCTGGCTCTTCCGGATAAATCTATGAGCAAGTGAGCCCACCTGGGCCCGTGGGCTCTGCAGCCAGCCCCACACCCAGCAGGCAGATGGGGAGTCCTTCTGGGGCACCACACACTGGGCTGCTGTTCTTGGAGTTCTGTTCATAGTAGGAGCTGTGGCCACATGACAAGTTGCCAGTGAAGCAGCAGCCAGAGCCAAGGTTATGAATATAATTTACTCAATCACCTCTCCAGGAATTAATTCAGCATTAGCTCTATGCAAGGAGCGTGTAAGGTAAGACACGAAGATGCAAAAAACGGGGTCCCTTCCCTTACCGGTTAGTGGGGATCACACACACACACATGCGTATAAGGAACCAGACAGCCTAGAATGTGATGTCTCATAAGTGGCACAAAACCAAGTGCTCTGGGCCTGAAGGAGAGGGGTCAGGGCTGGCACCTTGCAAGAGGGCGGGCCTTTAAGCCCTGACAAGGGAGGGTTCAGAGTTGGAAGTGAGGGACACAGACCGAAGAGGAACGACCAGAATACAGGACTCATAAGGAAGAGAGGTGAGACTAGAGATGAGTCTGGAGGGAGGGCTTCCATGCTGGGGTAAGAGCACGAACTTATCAAGGGGCCGTGAGGAGTCATGGGAAAGTCCTGCGGAAGGGAAGCCACACCATTAAAGTGCCGGCACTGAGCGAGTAGGGAAGAGAGAAAGCTGTCACGTCCCTTACCCTCCATCCGAGGGGACTTTGAAAAGATAGACTTTGTAAGCGCCCAGGGCAAAGAGGGAATGTAGCTGTGGAAGGATTCCTGGTGTGTCTGAGGCTGGACTGAGGTGGAAGGGCCGGTGTGGGAACCAACGGGGAGGAGAGAGAATGAGAGCTGCGGTAACGGAGGGGTGGCCCTTGTAGCTGAGGAGGAGGCTGGAGCTCACAGGCCGGGGGGAGGCCGGCCAAGGGAGGAGAAGGCAGGGTTCGAAGCGAAAGGCCTGACCTCAGCCCCGCTGCCTCCACTGCTGCCTGGCAGACAGACCCCCCACAATCCTGACGGCTGGGAGCGCCCTGGCTTCCTCAGACCCAAGATGGGGTCATCCTTCCTCCTGGGCAGCGGCTCATGTAAAGGGAAGTGTGATCTTGTGTGTGAAGTCACTCTCTCGACTCCAGGGTGTATGTGAAGTATGCGGAGTGGTGTGTTAACCGTTTCCATCGGTGGGGCTGGGGGGACAGGGTGCCATGTGTGGCCTGTGTGCTGAGGAGTGTCAGGGGGACCCGTCCTTGCTTCGCCTCGCAGAAGACTGTGATGCTTCTTGGGAAAAGGTGCCCAGAAACACAGAAAGCACTTCTGTCCCAATGGATAGATGGGCAGCGTGGCCACAAGAGGAGAGCAGCGGGGAGGCAGGTGATACGGGTTGTCGAGGGGACAGCATGCTGAATGTGGGCCTTCGAGCAGCCCCCGGGCTTCACCTCCACCCCAAGAGAAGTTTACCAAAAGTCTTGGGCTTTAAGGGGCATGGACATTAGGGAGGTCGTGATAAGCGCAGGGCAAGGATGGTGCTGGGTGGGACTGGTGGAGGAAGGGTGAGAACAAGGATTTGGTGGCTCCAGGTGAAGATTCCTCTGCAGACCAGGAGGACCTCTGGCATCACTGCTCCCACCTGCAACAGAGCTTCCCTGCGCTCCATGACCCCTGGAAAGCATCTCCACCACCTGGTGGTTGCTGACCTGCTTCATTCTGATCCAGCACACTTAAAAAAAAACAACAAATACATTTTAAGACAATGAAAAGGACGTCTATTATCTAATGGGGCTGCAGCACACGCCTACTTTCCATAAAGCAGTTTGAAGTCAGGGAGGAACACAGGGAGTGAAAGTCATCACTGAAAATGTACCACAGGGTAGGGAGGGATAAATTGGGAGTTTGGGCTTAGCACATGCAGACTGCTATGTACAGAATAAGATAAATGACAAGGTCCTGCTGTGTAGCACAGGGAACTACATTCAATATCTTGTAATTATCTATAATGAAAATGAATATATATGTATAATTGAATCACTATGCTATACGCCAGAAACTAACACAACATTGTAAATCAACTATACTTCAATAAAAATTCTTTAAAATCGTACCATGGTACTACCACTCAGTCATAAAAAAGAATGAAATAATGCCATTTGCAGCAACATGGATGGACCTAGAGATCATCACACTAAGTGAAGTAAATTGGACAGAGAAAGACAAATATCACACAATATTACTTACATGTGGAATCTAAAAGAAAATGAGACAAATGAACTTATTCACAAAACAGAAACAGACTCACAGACATAGAAAACTTATGGTTACCAAAGGGGAAATGGGGGTGGAGGGTAGATGAACTAGGAGTTTGAGATTAGCAGATACAAACTACTATATATAAAATAGCTAAACCACATGGTCCTATGGTATAGCACAGGGAACTATGTTCAATATCTTGTAATTGAAAAAGAATATGTGTATATATGTATGACTGAATCACTATGCTGTACACCAGAAACTAACAAACATTGTAAATCAACTATACTTCAGTAAAATAAAATAATGTCCTATTTGAAAAAAAAAGTGCCATGGTTCCACAGCAAGGACCAGTCCACTTAGCCTGGCTGCCCTCAAATCCTGAGCAACTGACAGGGCACCCCAAGTCCTTGAGGATTACAGAGGGCAACGTGCAGCAATAAACTCCCCAGATCCTGACAGCTGAGGACATCTAACCAGTGACCCAGCTACTGCCCCAAAGCAACATCTCCCAAAAGGGGGGTGTGCCCACTAGCAACAAGCGCTCAGTTTAGGTCCTTGTCCTTCACAGAACTCAGGCCACCCACGGGACATGACATGGAGATGACTCCCAGAATCGTAAAAATGCCCTGGATGTTCAGAAGGATGACCTAGGGTTGTAACAAACAACATTGGCCAGAATTACTGGATGATATTTAACTATAAAAATACCAGCTCTCAGCATTTAAGGTTTTGATATGTTCAAACTGTTATTACCCATGTGCAAATGCAGTCTTGACTATCTTCAGTAAGAGTAACGACCGTGCTTCCCACCAGGTGGCTCAGAGGATGACCAGGTTAACCAAGGATTGAAAGGGACTGGTGAACACTGACACTGTCAACTGGGAGTCTGAGTGAGAAGCAGTGCTATAGGCCAGAGGAGGTAGAAGGTCGATATGGAAGTAGATCTTGACATGAATCAGGTTTTGATTATCCCCAAGAACCAGCCCAGGCAAATCTCATTGCAACTGACATGATTAGTCTAGAAATCTGTGCATTAGCATAACTGTTCAAACGTCCCCAGGTGGCCCCGTTTGTGTGTGAGGCAAAGGGCGGATTCTTGCTGGTCTGGGGACTGGGTGATAAACTGACTCTCCCTCAGGTCTCTCGTTATCTAGCTGACAAGCCCCTCCCGTGCTTGGTGCCTCCCTCCCTACATCTGTCAAATGGGGACAGTGATGCCTCTACGTGGAGAAAATGAGAAAAAGATGTCATATCACTAGAAACCTAGTAAGATTTGTAATCACTTGATACTGACAAAGGTTTTCAGATCATTTAGGCCATTTGATTCTCACAGTAAGGCAGTGGTTAAGATGCTAGGCACCCTTTGTATAACAAATATTTTGTAGAACAAAAGGAAATTAACTGAAAATACAACTTCAATTCATGTAAGATTGTAAAAGATAGTTCTCTGTAATAAAAGGAAAATTACTAAGATTTTTATAACATGGTCATTAAACATGGGTTAGGAACTCAACCCAGTTCTTCTGATACCACTGGCATGATCTTTCCAGTGTCCTCTAAAATTATTTTTTTTAATTAAAGACAACTAAAATTAATGTTTAAGAATTCCCCAATACCATCATTTTTCTCTCCTCAGAAAATAGGAAAACATTGCTTTTTCCTCGGCGCGCCCCTTCATAGCAAGCCTAGTCTTGCTGTACTGGTCAGCTCCACTACAGTGACAGATAATCCCCAGTTCTCAGTGGCTTACGGGGACATTTACTGTTCACTGAAGGCTGTGGGTTGGCTGCGCTCTGTTTCAGTGGGTGGTGCAGCTCCGGGCTGGAAGAAGTCTGCTGTTGGTCTACGCCATGGGTTCTTTTCATTCTGGGATCCAGGCCGAAGGACGATGGAATGTGTTATTCCCATAGCAAATTTAAAGAGCCAGAGAGCTGGCGATAGTTCACAATGCCTCTTAAAGCCACTGCTTGAATGATCCGCACATAGTCACACGGCGATGGTCAGAGATGTGTAATCCTCTCACGGGGAAGGGGAGGTTGATTGTTGCAAACTGCAGTGCAACCTGCCAGAACGGATCAGATCCACTATGGTACTACAGACTCGAGGCAGCGCATAGAAACATTTGTTTGCCATCTTTCTTGAGACCAAGCATCTCAGATTCAACCACTCCTAAGAAGCGGTTAGGAACTATGGCAAAGAGGCCATACCTCACGTAAAGGAGCAGCCGCTATCAGCCCCAGTAAGGGGTACAGGGAGCAAATGACAGCCCACGTCCTCTGATTTCTCAAGAGAAGTCAGGAAACTGGATATTCATGTAAAACTTCCTACTTTAAAAATTTTTGGCAACTAATTTTTGGCAACCGTTTTTATTTTGAAAAAAAAACAACACTACCCTGCAGGCCAAGTAAAGCATCCCCAAATCAAATGTGAACCTCAACTGAAAAGTTTTCATCCTCTGCTTTAAGGAAATTTTAGGGGTGTGGCAAATGGGGCAGGGGCACTGTTGTCCTAGTTGTGGGGGACTGCGTGTTTCAGTAGCTCAGAGAGTCGGGGCTCGCACAGCCCAGAGTCACTCAGCCTCTGTTAATTGACTCAGGACTCAGATTATGGTCTCACTCACGGCCTCCAGTTCTCCTGTCCCGGGTCTGGCTCTGTGAGCTGCGCCATCTCCCAGGAGATGCCTTTCAGGCTGATGGACTTAAAAATTAGAGCTCAGATGGCCAAAGATGAGAGGAATTAGTTGAGAGATTGCACTCATTTGCCTCTTTAAATTTTAATACGGAATGCGATTTGTTAACAAGGGGCAGGTCCCGAGGTAGCGAGGGACATCAATAATTCAGGAGAAGCTGTCAGGCTGCAAACAGCCCCCTGGTGCCCAGCTGATGTTCCTGGTTGTGATGCAAGCTACTCTTTCAAGCTCTAAGAGAAAGGGTTAGGTTTCCATTGTCCAGCCCATTTCAGTCCCGTCTTTCCACAGCTCCCAAGTCCTCCTGGTACTGGAGACCTCTGTGCTGGACACTGTGACCGTGTTCAGACTCTGAGGCTAACAGTCCATAATGCTGATCTGATCACAGGTTAAACATGCAAGTTCCCTGATGACAATGGGGAATGCAGGAGCCGCCTCCTTGGCAGAATCTTCAGGGTCAACGCTACCTCCTGATCAGATGCACTGAGTGCCCGGGATCTAATAAATGCCTGTCCCATCCCCAGAACAAATGGTGCTCCCTCCTGTTTGCAGGATCTCATTTCTCTCCTTCTTTAAAAACAGACTCAACATTCGCCTGAACCTGGTCACTGACTTTGCTGGATGGTGGCGTCCCTTGGCCAAAGTCAGAGGGACATACTGGGATCCCACCTAAGCCACTGGAACATTGAGGCTGAGGGCCACATAAATCTATATTCCCTCTCGCACCAGGATGTGTGAACTTTGGGCAAGCTTCTGAAGTGTCTGAACCTCGATTTTCTCATTTTTAAAATAAGGATAAAAATACCTACCCCATTTAAGGATCAAATAAGACTGAGCATGTAAATTTATGATGATTATTTTTACAACTTTCTGAATGGATTTCCAGCTGTCTCCACCCTCACTTGCTGCATGCTGCCATTTAAGGTCAGAACTCTCATAGATGAGACTGGACATCTTCATGCCAAAGCGCCGATGACGCAGTTTCTGTTTTTACCGTGAGAAGTAGAAATAGATGGAATTAATATCAGCCAAATGGTACTAGGGGCTACCTCAGGCCTTTGCCCTCAAAAAGTGAGTGATATCCAAACTCATCATGTCAATAAACTCGGCTTTCTTTGGAAGGCACCAAATGTCAGCCCCGAAGGGCACCTGGCAGCGTCAGGGTGGTGCTCATTTCCCATCACCGCTGCCAGGCAGACACAGAGCTTGGAGCCTACACAGCCTCTTCGCATAGCAGGAAGAGCCCAGTAATGTGGCGAGAGCAGCACAGGGGGCAAGTGTTAACCCAGTGGATTCTGCTTAATGCACTGTATTGGCTGAGATGGATTTCATAAAACATTAGCAGTTGAAGCTATTTGTCAGCAGTAGGTCTGGGAAATGCTGTTCAATATATATATTTTTTTCCTTTCCGAGTGAAACAGAGAGCTGAGAGAATAATCCTGTGATAAGGAAAGCTTTGCTTCTGGCAAAGGGCACGTCCTGTCCCCCACTTTGTTTGGTCTGTCTCCAGAGCAGGAAGCAAGCAGAGCTAGGGGTGAAGGTGGAGCGGAGGGAGGCTCTTATAGGTTTTATGATTTGCTCTTCTATATTATTTTTGACAAACTTAATGCTACAGTAAAGTGTGAAGTCCCTACGTCACTCTGAGAAGGGGCATCGTGTGGACTAAAGGGATGAGAGAATGTCAGATGGCTTTCTTCGTCCCCATCCACACCTTTGCTGGTCCCTTAGAAGCAGACTCTTCCCCACTGCTCCAGGATTTCCAGGTAGTGAACGGCAGTGAGGTGGATGGCGGCCAACAGCAGGGCTGAGAGTGGCAGTTAGACACCTCAGCAAAGATGGAAAATAAAACCTCTTGTTAATGACCCATTGATGGGAAGATAGCTAACAAAGAATAAGGGGCTGGTAGGACGAAAGGGGAGGGCAGATGGGCTGATGCTCGGGTTATACACTCACAGTCAGTAAAGACAATCAAAGTATGAAGGAAAAAAATACGCATGGTCCAAATACACGATTTTGCACTTTAAATATAGTGACTTTTACTTCTCCCTGGAACGTTTTGTCTGGTCA